TGAGGAGTACGGTGGTGTCATCCTTGCTAACGCTTGCGGTCCCTGCATTGGTCAGTGGGATCGTCGCGACATCAAGAAGGGCGAGGCCAACTCCATCATCTCTTCCTACAACCGTAACTTCACTGGTCGTAACGATGCCAACCCCGCCACCCACGCCTTCGTTGCCTCTCCCGACCTTGTCGTTGCCATGACCGTTGCCGGTACCCTCAAGTTCAACCCCCTCACCGACAAGCTCAAGGACAAGGACGGTAACGAGTTCTTGCTCAAGGCTCCTTCCGGCGAGGGTCTCCCCGCCCAGGGCTACGACCCCGGTCGTGACACCTACCAGGCTCCTCCCAAGGACCGTGAGTCTGTTGCCGTCGCTGTCTCCCCCGAGAGTGACCGTCTCCAGCTCCTTGCTGGCTTCGAGAAGTGGGATGGCAAGGATGCCACCGGTATCCCTATCCTGATCAAGTGCCAGGGTAAGACCACCACCGACCACATCTCCATGGCTGGCCCATGGTTGAAGTACCGTGGACACCTTGACAACATCTCCAACAACATGTTGATTGGTGCCATCAACGCCGAGAACGGTGAGGCCAACAAGATCAAGAACGCCTTCACTGGTGAATACGATGCCGTCCCCGCCACTGCCCGTGACTACAAGGCCCGTGGTGTTAAGTGGGTCGTCATTGGTGACTGGAACTACGGTGAGGGTTCCTCCCGTGAGCACGCCGCTCTGGAGCCCCGCCACCTTGGTGGTCTTGCCATCATCACCCGCTCCTTCGCCCGTATCCACGAGACCAACCTCAAGAAGCAGGGTATGCTTCCCTTGACCTTCTCCGACCCCGCCGACTACGACAAGATCAAGCCCGATGACAAGGTTGACCTCCTCTGCACTGAGCTCGAGGTTGGCAAGCCCATGACTCTCCGCGTCCACCCCAAGGATGGTCCTTCCTTCGATGTCAAGCTCAGCCACACCTTCAACGAGTCCCAGATCGAGTGGTTCAAGGATGGATCTGCTCTGAACACCATGGCCCGCAAGGCTGGTAAGGCCTAAATCGCTAGTCATCTAAACAACTCGACAAGAGTGGGCCTCGGGCCACGATGAGCGACCAGCTCATCTGTAAACTACAAATATGGTTTCTGTCCGCTGAGATGAAACATGATGATACCTCCAAGAGACTTGTTTAGGGTCTCAGTGGATTTTGCCGAGCAGCGGGGAAGCGGCTGCTGGCTGGAAGATGCGGAGTGGTGATCCGAAAAATCTAACGAATTGTTTCTGCCATCAGGGCCTGGTTTCATTTGTACCCTTCAGATTTTAGGGTGGACTACATGGATATACTCTTTTTGTTTTGTTTTATATCATACACTGTATGTTAGGGACTGCGTGCATACCATTTTTCCTTCTGTTCCAATTGTGCATTTATGTAACTCGACTTTCTTGGTCACTGTGCCCTTGTAATCCAGACCCGACAAACTACGCTCGCGTGCCATTGATGCGTTATCTGAATATGCCGCTTAGTATAACAGGGGAACGTGATGCCGACGAGGCCGAGGCCAGCGGCCAGCACAGCGCACCCCACTTCGGTAGGTAATCGTTGAGTAGTAAGCCGTGTACATTTAATGATCGACCCTGCCCCATCCGTATGATTTACTCCATCTTGGTCATAGTCGTGCATTTTGTCCAGTCTATCAACGATCAGAAAGTGCCACACACTCGCACGTGACGTGCATATCTCCGTTATCCTCGAGGTCTCCCCCGATTTCGTTGACTCCGCGCTTGCGGGCGACGATCCGTCAATCGTCAGACTCTAGGGCATACTTGCAGAACTAGTTTCACCATCAGGCGCGGAGATCACGTCTTCCAGAGTGAGTAGCAGCGATTCTACTCTCATAAGCAGACTCCCCTCGCTCTCGTCAGACAGCTGATTGTGCAGGACGATACGTCCGCCGGAGAGTTCATACCGCCGCAGGCCAGGTAATCACAGACTCGTTGGCCTTGTAGTGCATACATCATGGCCACCCAACTCATTACCCTGTCGGAGGTGGAACGGTTAAGTTCGTCAGTGCTGAGAATCCTGGGCGGCAATCCGGGCAAGGTTCGTCCCATACCACTTCCATAGTCCTGTACACCTGCAGCATGCAGTGCCTTTTTCTAATCCACTTGGATGCTGCTCAGTTTACACTTCAAGGTGGGTGCCTTTCAGCCCATATGCAAGCGATTCGTTGAAGCCTGCAGACCTCTCTAAACCATGCCCCGATAGGAACGAATACATATCTCATCGGTCGAGGTCACCAGCGCATTCTGATCGACACGGGCGAGGGCAGGCCATCGTGGGCATCTCACCTCAAAGCCGTACTTGCCCAGGAAAATGCAACCGTGCACCAGGCACTACTCACCCACTGGCACCATGATCATGTCAAAGGTATCCCGGATCTTCTGGAGCTTTGCCCGCACGTGACGATCTACAAGCATCAACCGGGTCCTGGTCAACGCAGTATCGAGGATGGCCAGATATTCAGCGTGGAGGGCGCAACACTGCGTGCGTACCACACGCCTGGCCATACCGTCGACCACATGATGTTTGTCCTGGAGGAAGAGGATGCGGTGTTCACGGGCGACAGTAAGTTGGCTTTTCCAAGGTGTACATGTTGCATCCTGCATCTCCTTCCTTACTAATGTGGTGTCAAGATGTACTGGGACATGGTACCAGTGTTTTCGAAGACCTTGGCGAGTACATGGGTAGCCTACAGCGGATGCAGCATCGGGTCTCTGGCCGCGGGTACCCCGGTCATGGGGCGGTGATTGACAGTGCAATGGCCAAGATCTCCGAGTATATCAAGCATCGACAGCAGAGGGAGGATGAAGTGATCCGGGTCCTACGGTACGGCCAGCTTGAGGTCGCGGATGGGGAACCGCCTATCCACCCGAAACCCTTCTGGACCGCCATGGAGCTGGTGAAGGTGATTTACAAAGACGTCCCGGAGAACCTGCATTTACCGGCCTGCCATGGCGTACAGCTTGTGCTACAGAAGTTAGAGGACGAAGGTCGAGTGGTTCATGACAGGGATCTGGATGAATGGAGTCTGGAGCGTGGCAAATCCCCGCTTTGAGTCTGTCAGGAGGATTAGGGAATCGTTGCTTTTTTCCTTCCCCGTTCTATTTTTCTTTTTCTTTTTCTTTTTCTTTTTCTTTCTTTTTCTGATTTCATCCGTGAATGACTGCAGAAATGCCGGGAGTAGAATTATAGAGATACGAAGTATATGTAGTTTTGTTTCGGGAATTCTAGGAACCAACATTACTATGAAAGGAAGTTAGTTACTCACTCTGATGAAGAATTTGGGAAGGCCAGGATAGACGGAGGGGCTAGACCCATCCACTGCTGGGACCTTCTTTGGGACGAATTCGGGCACCCGAACGAACGAGCCTGCGTTGCTGTCTGCATTGGTACTGTACCGACGTCTGCTTCGTGTTCATGCTTTTGAGGTGCTGTAAGCAGATGCGACAATTCTGATCCATTTGGTCCATGACTGGTCTGATTCGAATGGAAGCCGTACTTGGCTCCATAGCAGTGAGATAGCACGGTATACTGTACCTTGTGTAGGTGCAAGGTTGTCAGTCAAGTGGCGGGTACAAGATATGGTTGGTTGTGCGATTACGCCGTCTAACCGTCATCATGTCCGCATCTAGGCGGGGCGAAAGCAGGCCTGGCCCGGGGGGCCCAGGGAGTTTCCGATATGGGGAGGAAGAGTGAGAGGTGTGCTTGCTTGAAGAAGAGAATATTAATATCTATTGATGACAGTACCCTGGCAGGATGACAAGCATGAAACGCCAGACAAGTAAGTGTTCTTGAGACTAAGGGTCGGCTAAAGTGTTTGTGGTCCCTTGAAAGTCCCGGGAGCGTGGGATGAATGGGGGACGGTGAGTCGCTGGCAGGGATCCCGCGCCGAGAAATCGTTCAATCCGGACTGTGACTTCATCGTTTGTTCGTTTTGTATCAGGTATCATGGATTTCCTCCGTAGTACACTTTGAACTTAACTCAGGGCTCCTCAGTATCCTCAGCAAATAATCCTTAGCAGCCAGCCAGTAAGTGAACTTTACTGTAACTTTGGACTCGTAACTTAACTTAGTTAGTAGTCGAGCAGTAGTTAAGCAGCCTGTCGGTCGTTGTACATACGGAGTACATAGTACAGTACATAGTAAAAGTAGGAGGAAGGAGTTCTTTCCCCACCCCACCTGCTTCTTCCCTCCTTCTCCCCCCTCCCCCTCCCTCTCTCTCTCCCCCCCATCATCCCATCTCTCACTCTTCTACTTCTTCTTCCGCCTATATTCTCCACCTCTCCTTCAAAGCGATAACTCCTATCGCAACAACTCGTTGAAGAGTGAGTTTCATACTCGTACATCCAGACAGCACCACGAAACCACAAACCACAAATCACGAATCACAAATCACAAATCAACCGAGAAACTGTTCGTTGCTGGGTGTGCATCTGTTTTCCACCGCCCCACCACTGGCTCAGTCGATGAACTTGCTAGTGAGGAAGTTGCTGGGTTCTTTTGATCTTCTTGCCCGAGCCCAAGCCTGGGTCGGTTGGTCCGCGCGCTGCCCGCTGCGGTGAGGTCACTTCGGCCATTATTCCCCGCCGCCAGACCTAACAGTTACTCCAACTCCTACCTACTTTCCCTAACCTACCTAACCTACCTACGTCTGCCAACTAATACTACCATTACTTACTTGAAACTTCTCTTGACTCGTTGAACCGCTGAAGGTCCCCCAAACTTGCCAATTTTCTTTTCTCCTCTGTTGTTTTCCCTTCTCGTCCTCATTCCCCCCCCCACCAAGAAGTCCTCTCGCCATCCCGCTTCCTCTCCGGAGTCGCGCCAATTCCTTCATAACTTCCGCCGAATCTTCCAAGACTGGCCCAAACTGATTTCTTGTCCTACCCCTCCTCTCTCTTTGCCCGCCTTTTGATCTCTTCCCTAAACTACTATCAATCAAATCGTGAGAATCTTCACGGCATCTTTTTACATTCTTATCCTCACCTTATCGAACCTGATCCGAGCTCTGATCCATATCCTGCTTTGGTGTCAATTTGCATCATTGGTCAGTGAGCTTGACTGCGCATCTTTCGCCATCTAGTTTTGCGCAATCGCCTGCATCACCGTCAGCATGCCTTCTCTCAATAACCCCGTCCCGAACGAGGCTAGGCTGTTACTAGTCTCCAACCGCCTCCCTATCACCATCAAGCGATCTGAGGATGGCAGATACGACTTCTCCATGTCTTCTGGAGGATTGGTTAGTGGACTCAGCGGTCTCTCGAAGTCCACGACTTTCCAATGGTACGGCTGGCCCGGTCTGGAAGTCCCAGAGGAGGAAATTCCCGAGGTAAAAAAACGTCTGAAGGAAGAGTACGGGGCTGTGCCGGTCTTCATCGATGACGAGCTTGCGGATCGTCACTACAATGGGTTCTCCAGTCAGTCCATCCCCTCGCCAATTGAATCGCATAGTCGGCGCGATGTACTAGAATGCTCACTTCGTGACCATATTCGCTGACCTCTTGCCTGCTTCTCTAGACTCGATCCTCTGGCCTCTTTTCCATTATCACCCTGGTGAGATCACCTTCGATGAATCTGCCTGGGAGGCATACAAGGAAGCCAACCGCCTCTTCGCCAAGGCCGTTGCGAAAGAAGTTCAAGACGGTGATTTAATCTGGGTCCATGATTATCATCTGATGCTGCTCCCGGAGATGCTTCGCGAAGAGATTGGCAACAGCAAAGAGAACGTTAAGATCGGATTCTTCCTTCACACGCCCTTCCCTAGCAGCGAAATCTATAGAATCCTGCCTGTGCGGAATGAGTTACTGCTCGGCGTCCTTCACTGTGACTTGATCGGCTTTCACACCTACGATTATACCAGACACTTTCTGAGTGCCTGCTCGCGTTTGCTGTATGTATTGGATGACTGACTTCTCACATATGACCCAGAGTTTTGCTAACCCTAGATTTAGGGGGTTGCCTACTACTCCAAATGGAATCGAGTTCCAGGGCAAATTGATTGCCTGTGGCGCCTTCCCAATCGGCATCGATCCCGAGAAGTTTGAGGAGGGTCTCAAGAAGGAAAAAGTTCAAAAACGCATTGCAATGCTAGAGCAGAAATTCCAGGGCGTGAAGCTAATGGTGGGCGTCGACCGTCTTGACTATATTAAGGGCGTCCCTCAAAAGCTACATGCGCTTGAGGTCTTCCTCAGTGATCATCCTGAGTGGGTTGGAAAGGTTGTACTGGTTCAGGTAGCGGTTCCCAGCAGACAAGACGTGGAAGAGTACCAAAACCTAAGGGCTGTGGTCAACGAACTCGTGGGCCGCATCAACGGTAAATTTGGTGAGTGCCCCCAGACTGACTTCTCGAGGCCTTGCTGATGGAAGGACAGGCACTGTTGAGTTCATGCCGATTCACTTCCTACATAAGTCAGTCAACTTCGACGAACTGATCGCTCTCTACGCCGTATCCGATGCCTGCATTGTCTCATCCACACGTGATGGCATGAATCTCGTGGCCTACGAATACATTGCCACTCAAAAGAAACGCCATGGCAGCTTGGTTCTCTCGGAGTTCGCGGGTGCGGCGCAAAGCTTGAATGGCAGTATTATTATCAACCCCTGGAACACCGAAGAGCTTGCAGCGGCTTATCAGGAGGCTGTCACAATGAGCGATGAGCAGAGGGCCTTGAACTTCTCTAAGCTGGACAAATATGTCAACAAGTATACAAGGTATGGCTAAGCTTGACAGTGCTAGACCAATCTTCTAACTGATATCTCATAGCGCATTCTGGGGCCAGTCATTTGTTACTGAGCTGACTCGGATATCGACTCAATCGGCGGAAAAGTTCCAAGCCAGGAAGGCTAGTATAATTCCAGGCCCCTCTAACCATTCGGAGCACACGAATGGTGTCAAGGCTCCGCAAGAAGCATAGGCATGGACTTGAAGTGCTGATAGACCCTCTGCTCGGCCTGCAGAAAGCGTTGGGCTTGGGGGAGATTGCGTATTATGGTGTTTATTCTTATTCTTGCTTTCGATATGGCGTGCTTATCCATTTCCTGGTCGAGTCATTTATCTTCTACCGTATGGAGTATATCAAAAGAGTCATTGTTGCGTTTAGGCCATAGGTTTCATGGTTTCGTTGGGATTGAGGTCGAGGTGTTGGTGTGCTGTGTATGTACAGGAGCATAGTTTAGAATATCTCAACTGATTATATCCCACTTATCACTTCGAAATGTTTTTAAATGAGAAGCGCCATTCTTGAGTATAATTAAGCATTGCTTGTGAACGCATATAGTAAACAGGACAACCAGTTGTGTCTGGGAGCGATGCGAAGGCGGAGGGAAAGTATGCGGGAGTGCAAAAAGTGCAAACATGCCCGAGATTGCAGAAATTCTCGGCCAACTCGCCCGCGGCCGCGATGCTGCTCCGATCTGAAATCTAGCCGTGCCTGTCTATTAACCTTACCCCAGCACTCTTTACTATCCGGGATCTGCTGTGCGATCACAGTATACCGGCTTATATCATTCAGAAAAAGTCTCACTAATCGAGACCGTCCGATAAACAAGCCTCGCACGATCGCAATCCCTACGAGCTGTGCGGCCTTGTCTAACAGATCGAGTCGGTCGTGACTGAACAACGACCCTACGCTACTCCTTCAGTCGAATTCCTTCTACACCACACAGGCTTCGCAATGGCCTTCAGCAACGTGCTCCGGGCCTTCCAGCCCCTGCGAACTTCTGTCCTCCGCACCCCCGCCTCCGCCACCCAATACCTCTCCAGACCTACGTTCTTCCAACGATCAATCGCCACGACGGCCCCCAAGTTCCTCGAGCAACCAACAGAGCAGCAGCCGCAGGAGCAACCATCCGTGGAGACCGCCACTCCGACCGCCGAAGCCCCTTCCTCCAGTAGTGTCCAGACCGAGGTCCCTCCCTCGCTCCGCCAATACGCCTACAAGCTCAAAAAGGGCACCGTCATATCCGCCGGCCGCATGGTGCGCACCGTCCGCGTCCTGCACTGGAACGTCGAGTGGGACGCCCACCTCCGCAAGTACTACCGCAAGAAGGAGATCATTCTGGTCTCGGACCCCCGCGAGTCGCTGCGTGTCGGCGACGTGATCGAGTTCTCGTCCGGGCACCCCAAGAGCCGCAACGTGCACCACGTGGTGGAGCGGATCATCGCCCCCTTCGGAGACCCTATCGAGGACCGGCCGGCCGTGATGACGCGGGAGGAGCGTGACGCCGCGCGCGCGGAGAAGCGGACGGCCAAGTGGCAGCGCAGGCAGGCCCGCATCCGCGAGGCCGGCGGCAACGTGAAGGGCGGCTCCCCTTCCCCGGAGCACGTTGGGCGCATTCGGAGGTTGATCCAGGAGCGACAGGACTCGTTCGTGCCGCAGATCGGGTTCAAGAGAGCGCAGATTGCGGCTGCTAAGGCCGAGGAGGCTGCTAAGGCGGAGGCAGAGGCGGAGGCGGAGGCGGCTGCTAAGGAGGCTGCTAAGAAGGCTGCCAAGGATACGCCTGCTGCTGAGACTACACAGAACTAAGTGGGGGATTTGATGCTGCTCTGCTTCATTCTTATTGGAGAGGGTGAAAGGGGAGTGGGAGTGGGCTTACCAGGAGTTTTTTTTTTATTTACGTCTTCTCCTTGACTGTGTATGGTTTGTATGTAAACCTTGTGTATATTATAGCTATTCATGTGGCATAGTGTGGAATCTCGATTCGGGCTTGTCTAGCCAGTTTAGTCCAGTAAGCCAGACTCCGGGGTAAAGAGTGAAGTAGAGTCAAGGCATACGCGACGCTACTACGTCTTATGCTATAAAGCAGTACATACTTTTTGCGCTGTCCCACCCTCTGTATTGATGATAGTAAGACAATATCTTGTTGTTGGCAATTAGAGCAGTATATTGAGCTGTCATGTCAATCTAGGCCAATCATTCACTCTACACTTTTCATCCCTCCCTCCCTCCCCCCGGTTTGCGCGGTGCGGGCAGCAAAATTACGGCTGCCAAGCCCCGTCTTTGGGTCGCGAAGTCACCCCAGTGACTTTGCCGTTGTTTACTTTCCCTCCAACTCCTTCCCTCTCCCACTCTTTGTATTAATCGCCACACTTCCTCGACATCCTCCGGCTTAGGAGCCCCTTTACCTACTAAATCCCCGGAACTACCTCATCTTCCAGTCACTGGAACTACTCCATCTCGAAAACCCCCTTCATACTGTGTGCTGGTCGTGAGCTCCGGAACCTACGCCCTGTCTCTATTCCCGGTTGTTCGCCCGTGCACGAGATCTGCAATCATCTGCAATTTTCAAGGTACGTCTTCATTTTTGAAGGGTTGGATGGGGAATCCTTCGATGCTGTTCCTCGCTGTTCCCCTCCCCCCTTGGAGATTCAGGACTTTTGCAGCGCGCTTGGACTTGTCACCTTTGAGGATCGAACCTCAACAAGCGCAGTTCGATGCCATCCAGTCTATTTCCTTCTGGGTAAGAGCGCAATCGCTAATCATGTCGCTCTCTCTTTTTTCTCATTATCTAGTGGAAACTACTCATTAACCCGTCGTAATGGCCGAGGGAGAAGAGGATTTCTCCTCCTTACCATTGCCCGACCGGTTCGCGCACAAGGTTTGCTAGCCTTTTTCCTGGATTATCATCCCTCCCATACCGCAAAGCCCCTCGTTCTGGGCTCGACGGGCGGTCATGTGGCGAGAGACTTATACTGATTGCGAGCTCCCCCAAAACCATAGAACTGGAAAGTCCGCAAGGAAGGATACGAAGATGCCAAACAACAATTCGAAAAGACGCCGGACGAGTCGGATCCGGTATTCACTCCATTCATACAAGACCCCGGACTCTGGAAAGGCGCGGTGGCAGATTCCAATGTGGCGGCTCAACAAGAAGGTCTTGGAGCCTATTGTGCATTTTTGAAGTTTGGTGGGGTACAGGCTTGTACAAGGTAAATTGGTCTATATGTTTCCCTTTTTGTTTCTCTTCGTGTTGGGGGAGTGTTTCCGATCCGTGGAGCTTCGGGTGGAGAAACAGAGAGAGATGGAGGAAGGGGAGGTCGATTTGGGAGCACAAGACTAACAGGATGCCTCATCCCCTAGAACGCGCGCAACTACAATTTTACCAATCTGTGAAAAGGGTCTCATATCTACACGACCAACCGCCAAAGCGAATGCGATCGAGGCGCTGCTTCTGTGTGTGGAGATGGATAAGGCGGATCCGGTGATTGAGGAGATGATGCCCGCATTGTCACATAAAATGCCCAAGGTGATTGCGGCCGCGCTGGCGGGGTTGAAGGCGATCTATCACAACTTCGGGTGCAAGCTTGTGGACCCAAAGCCGGTACTAAAAGCTTTACCCAAGGTCTTTGGGCACGCAGACAAGAATGTTCGGGCGGAAGCTCAAAACCTTACCGTGGAGCTCTATAGGTGGCTGAAGGAAGCCATTAAGCCCCTTTTCTGGGGCGAGCTGAAGCCTGTTCAACAGACTGACTTGGAAAAGTTGTTCGAAGCCGTGAAGCAAGAACCGCCACCAAAGCAGGAGAGGCTCACCAAAGCGCAGCAGGATGCGGCGGCTGTCGCCAGTGCTGCTCCTGCAGCAGGTGGCGATGACGAGATGGAGGGAGTTGAGGAATATGCAGAGTATGAGGGCGAAGTCGACGTTTTCGACCTCGCGGAACCCGTGGATGTGGCGTCCAAAGTACCCGGCAACTTCACGGAACAGCTTTCTTCGTCGAAGTGGAAGGACAGGAAGGAGGCTCTGGATGAACTCTACACTGTACTGAACGTACCCAGAATCAAGGATGGGCCATTCGATGAGGTGGTACGGTTATTGGCCAAGTCCATGAAAGATGCCAATGTTGCAGTCGTGACTGTTGCCGCCAACTGTGTTGACCTACTTGCCAAAGGCCTGCGCAGCGGATTCCTGAAGTATCGACCCACTATCATGGCACCGATGTTGGAACGCTTGAAAGAGAAGAAACAAAGCGTCGCAGATGCCCTAGGTCAAGCGCTCGACTCGGTCTTTATCGCCACAAGTTTGACGGAATGCTTGGAGGAGATCCTTGAATTCCTCAAACACAAGAACCCGCAAGTCAAGCAAGAAACCCTCAAATTCTTGATCCGTTGTCTTCGTACCACCAGGGACGTGCCGGCCAAACCAGAGATCAAGTCGATTGCAGAGGCGGCTACAAAGCTTCTTACTGAGTCTAGCGAGGTCAATCGTGCTGGAGGCGCAGAGGTTCTGGGTACCTTGATGAAAATCCTGGGAGAGCGGGCAATGAATCCTTACCTTGAAGGTCTCGATGATATCCGGAAAACGAAGATCAAGGAGTTCTACGAGACGGCGGAGGTCAAGGCGAAGGACAGACCCAAGCCTATCGTCGGCCCGCCAAAGACTACTTCGGCAGTTGGCAAGAAGGTCCTCGGTGGCAAGAAGCCAGCACTCGGAACGAAGAGGCCTGCAGCTGCACCAGCTCCTGTCGAGGAGCCAGCTCCAGCACCGTCCCCATCTAAGCCTGCCACGAGAGCCATTCCGTCTAAGCTGGGTGGGCTTGCAAAGCCGGGCGGCGTTCCTGCCCCTAGTGGCCTCAAAAAGAGGCTTGCTGGTCAGGCTGGCTTGGCATCACCCCAAAGGCGTGTAATATCACCCCCTTCAGAGGACCAGCCGCCGCTGCCTGCCGCACCTCGACTTGGTCTCGGAAGGGGCCTTGCTGGTCGCCCAATCGCCCGGCCAGCGGCTCCGGCCGAGCCAGCTCCAGCCCCAGTCGCACCGCAGATGAGTGGCATGTCTGCCGCTGAACGTGCGGAACTGGAAGAATTACGCCTCGAGAAAGAGCGATACACCCGCACTATCGATGATCTGAAGTACGACCGGACTAAGTTGAACTCTCAGATCACAGAACTCCAGAACCAAAACGCCCAGCTCATCGAAGACCACACTAGGGATGTTCTGAGCATCAAAGCTAAAGAGACCCAATTGGTACGAGCACGCAGTGACGCGGAGGCAGCAGAACAGACGGTCCAGAAGCAGCAGCGCGAGATCGAGCGCTTAAAGCGCGAGCTAGCTAGAGCGCTGCGCGCCAGTGCCATTAGCCCACCAAATGCCCTGCCCGACAACATCAGTATCTCTGAACCCGGGTTGGTCTATCAAGACTCGGGCCACAATGGGTACAATCCGATGTCCCGAGCTGGACTCCACGTAGGATCACGGTTTGATACCTCCCGGCCGCGTAGTTATGCTTCCACTAGCCCCAGCGAAGAGAAGGAGAACAACGGCCTGGACTCTCCATCACTGAGCACCAGAGAAGGAGCCCTCGGGCGACGAAAGCTCAGCCCTACATTCGGCACCGGCTACTCTGGCTTAGGAAGCCCCACACGCTCATCCGTACGGGGTCCTGGCAGTGCTTCGGGCGAGGACCAGCCTGCCAGGTCCACGGAACCAGCAGAGAACTGGAAAAGAGCTGCGGAAGTGACAAGTCAACTCAAAGCAAGAATCGAACAGATGAAGGTGAGCACAACCCCGGTCCGTTCCGCACACAATATGGTACTAACAAAGCATACCACGTATAGGCAAGGCAAGGCCTTACACGACCACCTGCTCAGCGCTAATGACCGAATGACCAACAACCAACTTTGATTCGATTCCCCTTCATCACATATTATTCTTCTTGCTTCGACTGATATCAACCTCCTTTTGCACGCAGCAAGTGCACGGAGCTTCCAAGAATCCTTTCTTTCTCTTTGTCAATCCTATTTTCTCTTTTCATTTTCCCACTTCTTACCTCTACCGGCTCCCTTTGGTAGTCTCTTGACCACGTTGATTCCTCGGGGCCTGTCAGTGCTTTCAATAAGTGGAGCATATCGGATGGTTGAAAGGGACAGGGTGTATTTTTTGCTGGCTGTATCAATTCGTTTCTTCTTTTCTTTGATTATTTGGCGGGGGTTTAGCTTTTGTCGTACCATACATACCACACGCCAGCATACCACACGTTACTATTCTCTGTATAGATACTTTCTTTTATCCATGCGTGTGATCTCATGGGATTTATTTTATTACTACTTGGGTGGTATGGACTAGGAACTAGCATTGATTGCATTTTCATGAGGACCTACAGAAGCCAAGTATGATTTGGACCCTGGTTGCCTAGGTGTCGAAAATTGTGCCTGAGGCTGAGACGGTAGGTTTTAATGCCTGAGGTTGATACAGCCTCCGTGCTACATTGGCAAACTAGCCAGGGTGTAGTCGTTCTTTGGGTGCATATTCTATTCTGCAACTCTCAACTACGCTTAACGAGGTGCAGACCTCTTCACATGAATGCTTTGCTTCCTTTTTCCTCTCTCAACTTTGAATGCAAAAGACATAGTATACTTCTACGAGGAAGAGGTGCAGGAGACAAGGAGTTGAGAATCATTGGGAAATAGCATTCATGAAGGGGGGGTATCTGCAAGGTTGTACATGGAGGGGAAAGGTAAAAGACCGCGTCATTGAAAAAGGTTTCGTATGGGTATAAGAGTTTTTTGTGGTAACCCGTCAGTGCAGTGAAATTTTTTCGGTTCACATAGCTAAGCTTTTTGGTTTGGTATCTGGGGATCTAGTGACACGAGACTAGCTTAGACACGGATGGCACCCTCAACGGCCTTGCGCTTCTTCTCCTGGCGGGCGACAGCCTTGGCGCCCATGATACCACCACCCCAGTGGCGGCGGGACTCCTCGTACTTGTCGGTGTAACCCTCCTTGATGGCGGAGAGGAGCTTGGAGAACTCGGTGTTGTCCTCGGAGCGGACCTCGGTGAGAGCGAGGACGGCAGCGGTCTGGAGGGGAACTGTTAGTGTCTTCAAGGGATATGTAGGG